TGTTGGTTGAGCCTTTGTCAGCTGTGGGAGCTCAATGCGAACTGGGCATGGGACACGTACCACCCACGGCATCAGGACACCTTCCCAGAAGGAGTAAAGGGTCAGGCCCCAGCTCAGCTTAACCTTGGGGAATCTGTGGCCCCCCTTCTCTCCTCATGGCCCCTGTGCATCTTTGTCTGTCTTAGTTGGTTTCTTTTCTGTGGAATCCTACCCATGTCAGGCTACCCAGGGCTCCTCTGAAGGATCAGGCAGGAAGTGTAGAGGAAGGGTTTGTGTCCCTGAGAGGACTTTCTTTCTGTCTTCTCAACCCTCTCTGCCGTCAGCTTTCCACTGCTGCCTCAAGAGGCCCTCCGCTAATTTCTGGCCCTTTAACTATGGAACTCTGGGTTCTCCCAAGGAGAGCCCAGCTCCTGGCATTGGGCCAGAGGAATGGATGCAACGATGGCAGCTCTCTGGGGGCATTGACAACAGCATGGGGTGGGAAAGTCCTCATGTTAGTGTGGGATTGTAGAGAAGACCCTTTTGAAGAAGAGGAAATAAGATTCTTCCTAGAATAGGATAGGGACACTCTATATCATCTAAGAAGCAAGAAGCCCTGTCTGTGCATGAGGCCCTGGGCTAGAAGATCCTTCTTAATGCAGGGGATCAGCATCTGTTTCAAGGCTGGACACCCCTGATTCTTGTGATGAGGGAGAGTCCTGTTTCCTGGAGCACACTCTTGGGAGGGCATGCTAGAGAATGGTGGGTGCAGAGAAGTGGAAACCAACTCCACATGAGGTGATCAGGTCAGAGGAAGGAAAGGAGACTTTAAGCTCAGGTGAGAGACACACACACAATCATATATAATAAAAGGGTAATATGCAAATAGACCGAATGGCAGAACAACCAGTGGAGGGGTGGGGCTGGCAAGCAAGTGGTGTCAGGCCAGGCAAGGTGCATGCCAGCAGACAGAGGGAGGTGATGGCGATCGGGGGGCAGCGGCAGCAGAAGGGCAATCAGGAGGTGGGGTTGGCCGCTTGCCGGCAGCACACTCCCCTGATCAGCCTGCCCGGTCACCTCCCGCAGAGGGAGGCTAGACTGTGGCTTAGGCCCACTCCCTGCAGGAACATCCCCCGAGGGCACCCAGACTGCGAGAAGGTGCAGGCTGGGCTGAGGGACTCTCTCCCCCTGAGTGCACGAATTTTCATGCATTGGGCCTCTAGTGAGAAATAAGAGGGCAGGGTATGTTGTCCTCCCAGAGGACTAGAGGTTCTATATCCTGCAGAGGGACAGAGTCAGGAATCATTTGGTTCTTAGGGGGTGGAGGAAAGATCTCTCCCAGAAAGGGTGACAGTGTTTTCACCAACCTTATGTAAGTTGGCTGGTTTGGGAAGGTATTGCACAAGGGGTTCCCTTGCAGCCACAGCTCTTCGAGCTTCAGCCCTTTTATCTTGTCCAACTCCTTGGCTGACTTTAGCTGAGAAACATTGGGGAAATTGGAAAAGAAATATCAGGAAAAGAGGAACATCTGGGCTCCTGCACCCACAATCCCCTCTCTCCCCCACAGGTACTTTTGCATCCCTCCTGTCATCACTCTGATGACCACTACCACCCATTCTCAACCCAACTTTGACCTGGCTCCCTCTTCTCACCTCATTTTTTGAAAGGTTCAGGGTCTTTATTGTGGGGGCAATCTGTATAATATCGGACAGGCCATCCAGGTGGCACAGTTTGTTCTTACACAAGTTCAAGGACAACAGCTTTGGGGAATAAGAGTTAGAGTTATTATCTAGGACCTGAGAGACAAATCTGCCCTCTGTTGCATCTGTTCCACCCTCTACCATAACACCAGCACTGGGTCTAAGGCCTCACCTCAGGGATATTCTTTTTGATGGTCTGCAGGATGGCAGTCATGTAGTTTCTTCGATTCAGGATTATAATAATATCATGGCCCAGTAAGTCTTCAGGGAACCAAAAGTAGGGAATCAGAAGGTTGCGAAGGTTCCAGGACCAGCACCTCCCTCATTACCATTTCTAGGTCTCCCTCTCAGGCAGACTCCTCTGTCCTTACCTTCCCCAGAATTACTGCTATTAGCTGTACCTGGGTCAAAGCGGAGCTTATGAAGGTCAAGAGTTTTCTGGGAAACGTCATATCGTTTGCTTATGGTCAGCTGTAGAGGGAGATGAAGAGAGCTGCTCTGAGGTTATTGTGGTGATAGGGAAATTGGGGACTGAAGGAGAAAGATGTGGGTCTGAGTGTGGGTACACAACATGCCTTATGTCTACATTACCTTTAGCTGTTCCATTTTTTCTGGCTCCAACTTATTGCTCACAGAGTAGGGTGCAGCAGAAGTATTAACAAAGATAGGTATCTGCAGGAAGAAGAGGTGGGATAAGCACCCAGAACTCTAATGCCAAAGAAAGTTAGTAGCCTCTGGCCTGTGGTCCTGCTTTGGGACTAGGTACAAAAATAGTTCAACACATACCTTTTGGTTCTCCTCATCAAAAATCTTGTAGTTTATGTCCTTCAATGCAGAGGCAGCACTAGCATCCTGGACAAAGAACTGGGCCAGGTGATTAACATAGTGGAACTACAGGGATTAAAAGCAACAGCAATAATGTCAGTGGCCTCTGGCCCTAGCTGAGCCATGCCTCTCCCCCTTCCCTGAGCCTCCTCATCTGGCTTCACCATCCCTCTTACGTCCACTGGAGTGAAGGGGACACTGCAATGGCTTTGGATTGAATTCATTAGCCATGTCCTGTCATATTTTATCCCATAAGGGACCTAAGGATGAGACAAAGGGGAGGGGTGGGAGAGAGGAGAGACAACATGGAAATAAGGCTAGAGAATAGCCCAACACAGTGTTTTATTCTGACCTCCTACCAAACTTTAAAAGACTTTAAAGTAGGGACCATTAACATGATTTCAACGTGTTTTGTTTTTGCTCGCCAGATATGGATTTTCTAATTATCCTTTTTCTCTATTCCAATATTTACCTCCCAAATAATCAAATTTAGATGTTTAAAACGAGCTTCCTTTAATAAGGTCCCAGGGAAGACCCTACCTATTAAAGACCTTACCAGTCCCTCTGATAAAAAGACAAACAAACAACAACAACAAAAAAACAACTTTAGAGAATCAAATGGAGACATCTAGTGAGGAGTTGCTCCATCTCCTTGGCAGTAGTTTCTACCTTTGCCTCTAGTCGACCTTCCTTCAGTCACTCTGTTCCCTTTTTATTGCTAATCTGAACCTGACCTTTGGATAATCAAAGATGTTAATTCCTCCTGACCTTAAAAACGTTCCTAGCATCTCTATATGAGATCAACACAACTCCCTTTGATCTGCCTCTCTTACACATTTCCTACATTTTTTCAGGATACTCACTGTGATCTTGAACCAGTCCCCCAGGTTTCCATCCTGTGTGTTTTCCATTTGTCTTTCTGGAGTTCTATTTTGGTATGCTTTAATCTACTTCACACCAATATTGTTAGGGTGGAAGTTAGAGAGGGACCTGTAGAGAAGTGTATAGAAGTGAGTGTTTAGAAATGTATAGAAATGCTAAAAAGTTTCCTATATGCTGGGGGCTAATTCAAGCAGGTCCTAATAAAGGCAGGAAGTCCTCAAAAGGTTGATGGGCTTCTATATTCAGCAGGGCTGAATCATATTATCTGCTGCTGAAATAGCTGAAAGCATTTCCCCAAACCTGAAAATCTGCATATATTATTGCCTGCTGCCAAACAGCTGAGGGCAGTTCCCCCAACCTGACAATACTTTACTGCTTACCAAACTTTACCTTTGATATGTATATCTGCTTTGCTTTAGGGAAATTTGTGTTAATAAAAAGCAAGGGGTCCAGAGATTTGGAGAACTTGGTTACTATAGCTAAGTCTTCTCTGGATCCCCCCAAGAATGCCTTCCAAATGTATATTTCATGTCTAGTCTCTATTAATTTACTGCAGCCCCTTCTCCAGATTCCTGAACCCTTCTATATGCAGGGAAAGACCCCTGGCACCTATATATGCTCACCTCAATTATAACAGGTCTACAAATGGGATTGTTCAACCATTATTCCGGTTCTATCACTCTTCACATTTACAGCAAGAAAAGAAAAAGAAGACCACGGAGAGTGAAAGAGTTGCATAGTCCTAGGTGCTGCTACATGCAAAATAGGCTATCTGAATAGTTACTGTCATATTTGAGGGTCCTTCTGGGAACCCCTCATTGCCTTGTTTCCATCATCCTCCTGAAGGTGAAAGGTTGATGCTCATAACTACCATATTCATAATGAAGTTTCCCCAAAATGATGGAAAAATCCCAACCTTTATTTTCCCTTGAAGAGAACTACTGCTATTATTGTAATTTGAAATTGAGAACAAAAATAAATTTGAAGACACATCAGTGGTCACGTACTGTGTACTACATCTTGGCCTAACATTATTGTAGGGAAGCCACATGTCAACCTGCCTGAGTGGAATAATCACACAAACCTCAGAAAGAAAACGCCTCTATCTCTCTAGATTTGAGAGTCTTACTCGAAAGATGGCATAATCAGGAAAGAAATCTTGAAGTAGGGAGTAACTGTGTGGAACCATTTAGAAAACGAGACAGGATTTATAACGAACAAAAGTATGAACATACATGGGCTATACACTAGGAAGGCATATGAATTTTGCCTTCTTTCAGGACTCTCTAATCTATTAACCCTGCTACAACCTGGGAAGCAAACTCATACCTCCCAAATTTAATCAGATACAAAATTGATTTCATGACTAATTAGCAAGCTGTACTTTCTTTTTTAGTACAGTCCAAACTTCAATGTCAGGTGAAACTGATGTAACAGCTTCCTAAACTGTCCCCCTCCCTCCAGCCTTGCTCTCAACAATACTTTGAAATATCCTAAGTAAGCTTTCTTTTTGTTCATCTGGAAAATTCTAACTTCTGCTCTTTTATAAGAGCAATCTCAACAATAAACTGGAACCATAGTGTGTATTATAAGTGTGTAGATATTTTTCTATTTGCTTTTGTTATAGATGGTCAGAGAACATAGTCTGTATTATTTCAATTCTTTTTATTTTTATTGAAGTTATTGGTGTGACATTGGTTAGGAAAATGGTATAGCTTTTAGGTATATAATTCTACAGTACATTATCTCAAGTCATCTCCTTCTATCACCATTTATCCCTCCTTTACCCTCTACTACCTCTCCCACCCCCCTTCCATCTAACAATCACCTTACTATTGTCTGTGTCTATGAGTCTTTATTTTTTGCTTAATTCCTTCATCCTTCTCACCCAGCCCCCAAGCCCCTCCCCTCTGACAGTTGTCAGTCTGTTCTTTGTATCCATGAGCCTGTCTCCACTCTGTAAGTTTATTTTGTTCATTAGATTCCTCATATAAATGAAATCATATGGTACTTGTCTTTCTCTGACTGGCTTATTTAACTTAGCGTAACAATGTCCAGGTCCATCCATACAGTCACAAAAGGTAGTCCATTGTGCAAATATATCACAGCTTTTTTTATCCATTCATCTACTGTTAAAGATTTGGGCTGCTTCCAAATGATGGCTATCCTATCTAATAAAAAGGGAATATGCAAATTGACTACCATGCCATCACAAAGATGGCAGCCCACGGCAGAGGCAGGATTTCCGTAACACAAGATGGCTGTGCCCACAGTGGAGGCTGAAGTCCCGTAACGAGCCTTAACGAGCAATCAGCAGTAACCTGAGGCTGCGTGGTGCTGGGCCAGGGCAGGGGACCTGAGACTGTGCCCCCCACCTGTTGGGGCTTGACAAGGGACCTCAGGCCATGCCCCTTGCCCTGGTGCCAGGCTTGGGGACCTCAAGCTGCCCCCCCCCCCCACCACAAAGCTGGTGCAACTGAGGCAGGAGACCTGAGGCTGAACCCCCCACCCGGCGGGGCTTGACAGGGGACCTGAGGCTGTGCCCCCCTCCCAGTGGGCCTTGATGGGGGTCCTCAGACTGTGCCCCTCACCTGGCAGGGCTTGACAGGGGACCTGAGGCCATGCCCCCAACCCAGTGCTGGGCCGGGGGAACTGAGGCTGCGCCCAAAGCCCGGCACTGGGCCGGGGGATCTCAGGCCACGTCCCCTACCTGGCAGGGCTGATGGGGGACCTCAAGGCCACTCCGTGCCCCAGCCTGGGACAGGGGACCTCAGGCCACTCACCCTACCCTAGCGGGGCTTGACAGAGGACCTCAGGCCATGTCCCTGGCCCGACTTGATGGGGGACCTGAGGCCACGCCCCCACCCAAGTGCTGGGCTGGAGGGACCTGAGGGTGTGCTGGGGACCTGAGGCTGTGCCCCCAGCCCAGCGCTGGCCTGGGGGATCTCAGGTCGTGTCCCCCACCTGGTGGGGCTTGACAGGGGACCTCAAGACATGCCCCCTGCCCTGGCCTGGGTTGGGGGACCTCAGGCCATGCCCCCCACCCTAGCACCAGGCCAGGGGACCTCAGGCTGTGCCTCCTGACCCAGTGGGGCTTGACAGAGGACCTCAGGCTGTGCCCCAGCCCAGCGGGGCTTGATGGGGGACCTCAAGGAGTGCCCCCCACTCTGGTGCCAGGCCAGGGAACCTCAGGCCATGCCCCCCACCCAGCATGCACAGGGGGACCTGAGGCTGCACCCTCCATCTGGTGGGGCTTGATGGGGGACATGAGGCTGTGCCCCCCACCTGGCACTGGGTCAGAGGACCTGAGGCTGCACCTCCTGCCCTTTAAAGCTGCACTCCCCACCCAGCGCCGGGCCAGGGGACCTGAGGCTGCGCCCCCCTGCCCAGTGGGGCTTGACAAAGGTGGGGCCAGCCGGGTCTGGATCTTGCCCAATGGGGGTGGGGTTGGTTGGGTCTGGGTCTCGTGCGATTTTGAGTTGCCGCATGTGGGCAGGCACTTGACTCTGGGTCGCACGGTGCACCCCAGACTCTGACAGGAGGAAGATTTTCATATACATTTTAATTATTTTCTTTCATCTCTGACACTTCTATTATAGAGAAAGGGCAAATAGCAATATTAAAATATTTCCTCTAATTGATACCCTTTTAATGTGCATAAATTTTATGCACCAGGCCACTAGTTATAAATAACGCTGCAATGAACATGGGGTGCATATATTCTTTCAAATTAATGTTTTGGATTTCTTTGGATATATTCCCAGAAGTAGAATTGCTGAGTTATAAGGCAGTTCCTCTTTTAATTTTTTTGAGGTAATTCCATACTGCTTCCCACATTGGCTGCACCAATATGCATTTCCACCAACAGTGTAGGGTTGCCTTTTCTCCATATCCTTACCAACAGTTGTTCATTGATTTATTGATAGTAGCCATTCTGACAGGGGTGAGGTGATATTTCATTGTGGTTTTAATTTACATTTATCTGTTGATTAGTGATGTTGAACATCTTTTCATATGTCCATTGGCCATCTGTATGTCCTCTTTGGAGAAGTGTCTATTCAGGTCTTTGTCCATTCCTTAATTGGATTGTTTGTTTTTTGGGTGTATTTTTCATAAGTTCCTTAAATATTTTGGATAGTAAGCCCTTACTATGTTGGTGAATACGTTCTCCCACTCAGTAGGTTATTTTTTCATTTTATTGATGTTCCTTTGCTGTGCAATACCTTTTTATTTTGATGTAGTTGTGTTTATTTTTCCCCTTGCCTGAAGAAATATATCAAAAAAATATTGCTACAAGAAATGTCCAAGATTTTACTGCCTATGCTTTCTTCCAGGATTTTTATGGTTTCAAGTCTTTAATCCATTTTGAGTTTATTCTTGTGTATGGTGTAAGAAGGTGGTCTAGTTTTCCAATTTTCCCAACATCATTTATTGAATAGACTCTCTTTACAACATTATATATTCTTGCCTTCTTTGTCAAATATCAATTGACTATAAAGACTTGGGTTTACTTCTGGGCTCTCTGTTCTGTTCCATTGATCTGACTGTTCTTATGCCAGTATCAGGTGGTTTTCATTACAATGACATTGTGGTATAGGTTGATATCAAGTAGTGTGATATTTCCAACATTGTTCTTCTTTCTCAAGATTACTGAAGCTATTTGGGGTCTTTTGTGGTTCCATATAAATTTTTGAAATATTTGTTCTCAATAATCTGTGAAATATGACATTGGTATTTTTATAGGAATTGCGTAGAATCTATAAATTGCTTTGTGTAGTATGGGGATTTTAATGATGTTAATTATTCCTATCCATGAGCATGGTATATATTTCCACTTATTTGTGAATTCCTCAATTTTTTTCTTCAGTATCCAATACTTTTTCAAGTATAGGTCTTTTATCTCCTTAGTTAAATTTATTCCTGGGTACCTTATTTTCTTTTGCTGCAATAGTAAATGGGACTGCTTTCTTATTTTCCTTTTCTGATAGTAAATTATTGGTGTATACAAATACCACCAAATTCTGAATATTAATTTTGTATTCTGCTACTTTGCTGAATTCATTTATCAGTTCTAGTAGTTTTTTGGTAGAGTCTTTAGGGTTTTCTATGTACAGTCTCATGTCATATGGGAATAATGACATTTTTTCTTCCTCTTTTCCAATTTGGATGCCTTTTATCTGTTCTTCTTTTCTAATTTCTGTGGCTAGAACTTCCAGTATTATGTTGAATAAGGTGGTGAAAGTGGACATCCCTGTCTTGTCCCTGATCTTAGCACAGATGCTTTTAGTTTTTGTCCATTAAGTATGATGTTGGCTGTGGGTTTGTCATATGTGGTCTTTATTATTCTGAGGTATGATCTCTCTGTTCCCACTTTGCTGTGAGTTTTTGTCATAAACGAGTGCAGGATACTATCAAATGTTTTTCTGCATATATTGATATGATTATGTGGCTTTTATTCTTCATTTTATCCTTCAGTCTATGTGATGTATCATATTTATTGATTTGCAAATACTATACCAACCTGCGTCACTAGAATAAATCTCACTTGATCATGGTATATGATTTTTTTGATGTATTGCTGGATCCTGTTTGCTAATATTTTGTTGAGGATTTTAGCATCTATACTCATCAGGGATATTGGCCTGTAATTTTCTTTCTTTATGGTGTCTTTATCTGCCTTTGGAATTAGGATAATGTTGGCCTCATAAAAAAACTTGGAAGTTTTCCCTCATCTTGAATTCTACTTCTGGGAATATATCCCAAGAAACCAGAAACACCATTCACAAAGGTTATATACACCCCTAGTTCACAGCAGCACAATTTACAATAGCTAAAATTTGGAAACAACCTAAGTGCCCATGAGCAGATGAGTGGATTACAAAACTGTGGTACATATACACAATGGAATACTATGCTGCTGTAAAAAA